GGGGGGGGGGGGGGGGGGGGGGGGGGGGGGGGGGGGGGGGGGGGGGGGGGGGGGGGGGGGGGGGGGGGGGGGGGGGGGGGGGGGGGGGGGGGGGGGGGGGGGGGGGGGGGGGGGGGGGGGGGGGGGGGGGGGGGGGGGGGGGGGGGATGTAAATACCACGGATTTCCCCTCCATGCAAGTCTTCGTTAACTATATTTCCCCTCCATGTAATTTTTCGATCATCACTTATGTTTATACAATCCATAATTTTTGCTGTTGTTTCGATCTCAGGTTTATTCTGTTTTATTTTTCTGGCATTTTTGGATTGTATAAACATAATTGAAATGAGGTACCGACTAGAAATGTGAAGCTGAATGTCAGTGATGTTCGTGGTAATTGTTGGCTGACAATGGTAAATTGAGATCGTGTCAATGATCTTACAATGGTAAATTTTGCATTAACTGGAAGAAAACTGAGTTCATCCCTTGTATTTTAACGTTTAACATTATTATTCTGTCAGGATTTATGATGAAACAATTGCAGGAGAACATCAGAATCGTGAAAGTGGCCATCAAGTTAACTGCAGCCATTGAAGATGAGGAAGCTTCAGGTTGAAAGAATGATACATTTTGACTGAAAACTTGGAACTGATATCTACTTTTCCTCGCATATTAGTTTATTCTGGATGGACTAGGAGAAGATTAAGCATCTGTCAGCTATATATTAAGGGATTGGAACAATAAGCAGAATTTGGTAGCAGAACGGAAGCATATCTTTATGAGGTAATTGTTTTGTTGCCATTGACTAAACAGCACGGTCGAAGATTAGAGACTCGACATAAGGCCTAGAAACTCTTACTTACATTACAAGCCTAACCATTACATCGGTAAGAGAACCTAGAATAGAAGGGCATGAATATAATATGTAACAGTCTAAGGTCGCCGCTAGCAGATATTGTTTGTTTTGGTCAGTTACGTATTGCTGTAAGCCTTATGAATTTTAAAACGTGTCTGCTAGAGAGAGATTTACACACCCTTTTAAAGAATGCTTCTGGGATCTCAAAGATTTGAAAAAGAGAGAAACTTTTCTGTGATACGTATGGCAGTGTTATGTACAAGAAAACGTCAAAACTTGAGGATCCATTCTTCATTCCTTTGTCCATTACTTCTTCTCTAGGCAGACTTTAATCGATCTAACCTGTACAGTCTCTGGGAAAAGACACATAAGAACACTCTCAGTAGGTAAACTGTCATGAAATTGATTATAGTGCTGAAAATAATACTTGGATTTACCAGAATAGAATGGATGTGTTCCAGAAAAGGTGAGAGCTGGGAAATGAAGGAGTCTATTTCCTCCACAAGGGTATCGTTTTGTTCGTCGTTGGCCGTTAGGAGACGATCGAACCTTTCGCTATCGGGCACAAGCTTCAGAGCTATCTGTAAGAACCATAGTTTTTTGGTTTATACAAAAGTACCATGATGATCATTTAAGAGAAGGCAAACAAAAGCAAAAGAGAATACTTTGACAGCAGCAGATGAAATCCATCCATGCCATGGCTTTAGAGTAAGGTTGTAAGCATCCTCTACTGCTTGCTCCATGCTCAGCCTTGGTTCTTCTCTGGACTTCTCTAATAACGCCACTGTAAAATCGAGGGACCTATATCACAGGAAAACTTCATAAAACTCCTAATCGAGAATATGGGAAAGAGAATCACACACAAAGAAAATTGTGAAATCTCATATCGGTTGGAGAGAAGAATGAAGCATTCCTTATAAAGGTGTGGAAACTTTTCTCTAGTAGACATGTTTTAAAAATCGGAGGGGAAGCCTGAAAGGGAAAGCTCAAAGAGAATCCCACATTGATTGGAGAAAGGAATGAGTGTCAGGGAGGACGTTGGTCCCTGAAGGAGGTAGATATTGTGAGATCCCACATCAGTTGGGGAGGAAGTTGGTCCCTGAAGAGAGTGGATATTGTGAGACCGCACATCGGTTGGGGAGGAGAACAAAACACGATTAGAAAAAGGAACGAGTGCTAGTGAGGACGTTGGTCTCCGAAGGAGATAGATATTATGAGATCCCACATCAGTTGGGGAGGATGTTGGTCCTCGAAAAGTGTGGATATTGTGGGACCCCGCATCAACTGGGGAGGAAAACGAAACATTTTTTATAAGAGAGTGAAAACTTCTTTCTAGCAGATTGTATTTTAAAAATTTCAAAAGAAAACCCAAAAAGGACAATATCTACTAGAAATAGGCTTAGGCCGTTACAGAAATAGACTTTTCCTCGTCGAATGACCACACAGAACACAACAAAAGTTTAGGAATCAACCATTTGCATGACAAGCAATGAGCAGAAGTCAAGGAAGCAGTCAACAATTCGATGAAAGAACATAAGTAGCTACCTTGTAAGCCACAGAAAGGCTCTGCTACAACTGGTGAGCTTCCTAGCAATTCCATCATTCATCTCTTTCTTCAAAACTTCCACCATATTCGAATACAACAAAGGATCAGACTCGTACACACTCTCCAACCTCTGCATTTCAACCCACCACCACTTAGTATCAGTAGAGGCATAAACACACACACATGTTCCCCATTTTAATGCTCTGTTTCTACCTGAATGTTCTTATGAATGTCCTGTCGAAGAACAGCCATTGTCGGCCCTACCTTATCTGCAACAACAACAACAACAACAACAAAATCCCCCATTTAACACAAACCATTCCCTTTCTACAATTCTCAGAGAGGAACAGAGAAATACCCAGAAATCGAAGGATCAAATTGCAAAGAGAAAGAAAGGGCTTGGTGGGTATGTCGGGAGCAGCATGATCCACAGCAAGCTGCGCCGTTGCAGACCTCATTTCTGATTCCATTTCCGCTGCTCTCTTCCTCTTCATATATCAAAATCAAAGCCAAACTCTTTATATTTTGGATCTTAAGAAAGCTCTGAAATTCAAGAAATGGTTGATGCGACTACAGGATTTGACCTCAATTATCACTTCTTATATTCCATTAAGTTCTGTGAGAAGATAAGAACAGAGTTTTAGAAAATTCTTATATTCCCTTCATAATACACTCTTCTTGTCCCTAAGTTTATAATAATTTAATTTCATTCCCTAATTTCAAGCCCCTTTTCTACCGTTTTCGTTTTCGTTTCTGGCTCGTATCCACAACTTTAAACGATATATCGTCATATACTTAGTCCTCGAAGTTTGAATTTAACTTAGCTTTAACTCGTCTAAAGTTTTTATTTGATTTCTAATTAGTTTCTGATTCATTAATGTAATAGTTCAAGCTGAACCACTAACACTTATTATCTTTTTTGGGCTTTTCCCTTTTGGGATTTCTTGGAGAGTTTTGAAAACGCGCTTCTTAGGATAGGTTTTTTGATTCATTAATGTAACAGCTAACACTTATTATCTTTTTTGGACTTTTCCCTTTTGGGATTTCTTGGAGAGTTTTGAAAACGCGTCTCTTAGGATAGGTTTTCTGATTCATTAATGTAACCGTTCAGCTTGAACGGTTAACACTTATTATCTTTTTTGGGCTTTTTCCTTTTGGGATTTCTTGGAGAGTTTTGAAAACGCATCTCCTAAGGATAGGTTTTCTGATTCATTAATGTAACAGTTCAAGCTGAACGACTAACTTATGATCTTTTTTGGGCTTTTCCCTTTCGGGATTTTTAGAGAGTTTTGAAAACTTGTCTGATAGGTTTGCACACATTTATTAAAAAAAAATGTTTTGTTTCTTTCTCTACAACAGATGTGAGATCTCACCATCTATCTCTTTTCATAGCCTAACATCCTGGCTGACACTCATTCATTTCTCTAATTAATATCCGATCTCGCAATCCACCCCTATTGCTGGCACTCTTCCTCTCAAACTCTACTTGAAAATGAAAATGGAATGAAAATGGTTATTCTGCTCATTCAGAAAATTCTCGAGGGGATCTCAGTTAAAAAAAAAAAAAAACTCATTTAATATATATATATATATCATCGAATTTTTTGTTTGCATAGGTTAATTAACACGTCATCCTTCCATTAGGTCCGTTAATATTAAATTTATTAGAGATGATTTAAAAAACAATTTCAAACTTTATAAACCAATTAAAAATTAAATTGAAATTTTAATTGAAAATGTATGAAAATGTATAAATTAACTAATTTATTTGACCGAAAATATTATATTATCATAAAAAGCGAAAGTTCCAATTTATATATTTAAATGGAACTATTTAGACATTACCGAAAATTTAAAAAATTGGAACAAAATTATGGGACTATTTTTATGGAGCTAAAACCTAAATATTATATTAAAAATTATGTTTTTTTTTTAATTCGGTGACGTAGCGGAAAATTGATAATTAATTTAATTAATTAAATTTTAGTTTCATCTAAACCGTTCCCAACTGGAACGATCTTAACTACTATTATAAGTTGACCAAGTTTTTATTTATTTAATTAATATAATAAGCAGTTTTAAAAAATCATTTCAAATATTTAAAAAAAAAAAAAATTAAGATTAAGGTAACCAAACTTCATTACTCACCATATATATTCTTCGTCTAATTATGAAGCTATATAAAATCATGTATGTTATCTTTGTAGAACAAACTTAAAAAATGCAGTATGTTAGACGAACACGACTCTCCACAATGGTATGATAT